TCTGCCTACTTGTGATCTCTGTCTGTCAAAAAAAAAAAAAAAAAAAAGACCTGGAAATCTGAATCAACTATGGATTTTTAGTTCATAAGAAGGTATCAACATTTGTCCAGTAATTGTAACAGATGTTACTATTTGTTACTAATTTACTCATGTCAAATCTGGGTGTTGGGCATGGAGGAACTATCTGTATTATCGTCACAATCTTCTTATAAATCAAAAACTTTTAAAATAAAAATAAATAATACATACATTAATAAATAAAATAAAAATGAAAGGGTATCAAAATGAAATAATATAACATCAACATTTTTTAAAAGCGCATATATCCCAATATACTAAAACCAGTCCATTTTTATTCAAGTAAAAAAGTTAAGAAGAAAATACCCCCATCACTAATCTGGGTTAAAAGATGTGTCCACTTTGTGAAAAAAAGTCATTGGGATTTACCTCTGTGAAATGGGTGCATTTGTCAAAAAAACCTTTTGTTTTATGACTGTGTAATAGGTGTATTAAGAGAGTGCACCTAATATTGGATTAAATGAAACAACATAAGTACAATATGTACAATAACATATTTCTGTACAGTAAGAGTGTCCAGGACACAGTATATGATCAATAAATGTTGTATATTATTTTAATTAAAAAGATAAGATTACACCCTGAATTTTACATTTAAAAATTCGGGAGGAGGTGGGAGGAAAAGAATGGACATCTATGTGAAAAATTATTGGTCAGAGATTAATAATTCTAAAAGGTAGCTACAGGGTTCATGGAAGCATTCTATGTTTTTTTTATGTAAATAAAATTTTCATAGCAAAGAGGGGAAGTAATCATTAGAGACGAGGGGATCTTGAATTACATTAAAATTTGGTAAAATAAAAAAATCGGTAAAATAAGCTAACAAGACAAAATCTTTGTAATAACATTCACGGAAAGTTGGGGGAAAGGGCCTTGTCAAATATAAAAGAACTCGGAATACGGGGGCCACGAACCTTCCATGAAAAAGAAAAACTGCTTAATAAAATTCCAACAATTAAAAGTCAGAGTTGGATCTCAGGAATGTGGAAGCTGAAATAAGAGGACAGGAAGCGACCTGTGGATGCATGGGACAAGGAATGAATGTGGCCTAAGTAACCTCCTTTTACCAAACAGAATTTGGACGTGATCAAACTGGACAGTGTCAAGCTACTCGCTAATGTTAATGTTCTCAGTTTCTCAACAAGGAGCCAGTCCATATGGTCTACAATGAAAATGTGGTTAATAAAAACATCATAATGCTGGAAGGCTGCCAGACTGGGTTTCAGATGTTGTGACCAAGAGGCTGGCCCAGCACCCGATTTATTTTGCCTGGAGAAAGGATGCACTCCAGGGCCCTCAGACACCCAGACATGGCCTCTCACGCCACCACACCCAAGGGATGGGAACCGACGTGAGTGCAGGCAGGTGAGGGCCAGGCCCTCATGGCTGAACTGTGTTAGCCACGGGGCCCCTGTGAGTGTCTGCCTCCGTGCGACTATGCATCATGGCTGTGTAGATGAAAATCCCCCTGGAGAGACGCCGCGTGCTTGGGGAAGGGCCCACCCTCCTTTCCTTCATGGGGCAAGGTCAACAATGAGGTCAAACTCTCCTCAGATTCCCTGAGACTACTGGCATGTTTATCTCTAAATGTCACTCTCTCTCTTCAACTCATGGGGATCCTTCAGGGGAAACATCTCTTGTGTGATGAAGAAATGTCTGTGAAGTTCAAGAATTCCTTCAATTTTACTTCAGATTCATTTTCTTCAATTAGAATCAAGTAAAATTAAATTTTCACTAAAAAAAATAGACATATGGCATGATCCCATTTTTATGAAAGTATTTCTATCCCTCCTCCTAGCTGTAAAAATGCATGGAAATATGTCTGGGCTGCTGTACCAGAAATGTTAATGATGGTTATATTTGAATGATGGAACTGGAGCTAATACTTTTTTTTTTTTTTTTTTTTTTTTACTTTTCTGCAATGCTTAAACTGTTTATAGGAGTGTATATTGTTTCAACAAAAAAATAAAGTGATTTTTCTCAAACAAACAAACAAACAAACAAACCTGACTTCTTGGCGTGAGCCCTCGGGGTTCAAAGCTTCTGTTTTCCTTTCTTCTCCAGCTGCCACTGGCTCCCCCCACACCTCCTCCATTTCTTTCCCCTCCCTTTGCACCCACCCAGCTTTTCACCCACCTTTGACTCCCACCTTTCTCTTTCTCCCCCGACTGAGGACACCCCATCTTTAGTACTTAATGGCCTGCTGGCCCCTGTGGGGAGGGAGGCCAGACTCCTTTCCTTTTCTGCAAGAGGTTGGGGTGGGGACATTTTCAGAAGGTTTTTTTGAGACCCTCAGTGACCCCTCCTTTCCCCTCTACCTCTCATGAACCCCAACACCAGGGGAGGAGGCGAGAGCAGCCCGGGGGGGTTTGGGAGGAATGGAGAGAGAACTCTGGCAGGAATGTAGCTCTGGGGTGAGTTTCCCCACAGGATCCTGGGGATGTGGAAGAGTTTGAATCTTTCCTCAGGCTCCACATCATCCCCTTAGCTCTGTTCTTTTGTTTCCAACACCTTTGCTCAATACATCACTAACTTCTTAGATTTCAATATCCTATCTCAAGGGTCTCCTCTGGAGAGGGCTCATTCTCCCCCACTCTGTGCCATTATTGGGGGAGCAGTAAAAGAGTGGCCTCACCCAGGCCACAGGGCCTCCCAGTTGAGAGACAGAGCCAGCCCCCCTCCCCCAGACAGGACCAGCACAAGGGACATGTGAAGGGGCGGCAGAAGGGCAGAGAGGGGCTGTGAGCCAAGCCATGGGAGAGGCCACAATGCCCCACAGTAAACTCGACTGCCCAAGCGAAGCAGACTGCTGGTTACCTCAAGGACAATCAGTTCATCATGATGGGCGGCTCTGTCTGGGCGGAGAGAACCCCACGTGTTTGACATCCCTGCTATCAGGCCCCAAAAAGGGCCAGGCTCTCCTTGGAGGACTCCCGAGCCTCACATTAGCAGGGCCAAACCAGCAGGAACCCCTGATCCCCCACCAGGTTCCCAGACAGGGAGTTAGGGCTTCATGAGACATGGACGTGGTACTGAGGAGGAGAGCAGAGACAGAAGCCCAGGCCAGTCAGGACAGGGAGGAGGATGGGGTGGGGGGAGGGGGAGCTGGAAGGGCCTGGTCTGAGCAGCATGTGCTAAGGACTGAGAGTTGAGGAGTGAAGGCCTGGAGATTCTGGGCCCACAAGGGTGTGGGCGTGAGCAGAGCAAGGCATGGGCGGCAGTGGAAGGAAAGGGGTGTGGCAGACAGACGTCAGGACCAGCCTTCAGGAACTCTGGATCTACCTCCTGCCCGCAGGGGATGGATGATTCTTCACTGAATATCCCATGTACCTCTTTAGCCATGAACCATGTTAATCACTACCTTTTGAAAACTACGACTACTATTATTACCATTATTATTATTATTATTATTATCATCACATTTTAAGGTAAATAGCTGAAGTCACAGAAAGGAGGGTTGCTTTCCAGGTGCAAAAGCGTCAGAGCCCACGTTGGCCTGTCCAGGGGCTGGGAAGATGAGGAAATGTTTCCTGGTCCAGTTTGGCAGAAAGACTCAGAAAAGGCCACACTGGAAGCAGAGACCAGCACCACAGGTCCCATAGGACACTGCCCGGGTGCTCAGCCACTGAGGGCTACCCCCAGGCCTGGGCCATGCAAGACCAGAAGTCTGGACAAGATGCACTCTGAGAGGCTTGCCAAGATGAGCAAAGGGAAATACAGGATGCCCAGTTAAATCTGAATGTCAGATAAATCACAAAAATGTTTGGTGTAAATGTGTCCCAAATATAGCACGAGGCATACTTACACTAAAAAATCATTTGTTGTTTATATGCCACTCAAATTTAACTAGACATTCTGTATGTTCTGTGGCACCCTACACTTCAGGAATCTGCTGGAGAGGAAATGCTGTTCCTACAATTTTCTTTTTCAGTTTTCTGTTTACATTTTTTAAACTGTTAACCCAAATTTCCACAGCCTTGCTGGCCTGTAAATGCAAATGAGTTAACTTCAAAATAGCTTATGTCCCTGGCCTGCCCATCTCCCAACACGGGCCCTTGTCCCCGGCACCACGGTGTGGGGTTCCCCAGAGGCTGTCAGGATCTGCTCTGGTTGGCTTCTGCGCCCACTGCCTCCTACGCCACAGGAGGGCAGTGGTTGCCTGGCTGAGCTCGGGGGCCGAGGCTGTGCCACTGCGCCCTCTGCTGGTGAGCCCCAGACTGCAACACGGTGAGGGGGTTGGGTGCTGCTGGAAGGCTTTGGGCTCCACAGCCCCGCCATTGAGTGAGAGCTCCTCCAAGACCGGAGAAAGGCCCCTTCTCCCACCTCTCACGGAGTCCGACAGCGGATGGCCTCTCCAGCTGCCCAGCCTCTGTTCTTCCTGCTTCATCTCCTCCCTCCTCGTGAGCTCTTTCCGGCTTTGTATGGGCTACCTGAGCAGGCCAGGTTCAGCTCTGTGTCTCCTCTTGGTTCCCTCCATACCAACACTCAGGCTGGTTCTGTGCTTACCGATGGCTCCTCCAAGTGCCACGTAGGCCAGTGTGGAAAAGCCCACAGTTACCGGTCACCGTCCACTGCCCCTCCTGCCCCACCGCCCTCACCATCCAGGTCTTCCCTTGGACTATCGGATGAGCCTGGGTCCACCAAAGGCTCAGTCCACTGGTTCCTGGGCCACTCTGCCACGATTCCTTTCAGAGGGTGGCTTTTTCATTTTCTATCTCCCCATCATGTAAGGCTGCATCTGTCTTGCTCGCCCCCAGATCCTAGCATCTGGCACAGAGCAGAGTTAACAAATACTGTCGAAAGGAAGGTTGGGAGGCTCTGGAGAGCACTGAGGAGTCTCTCTGGGCCAAAGGCAATGAATGATTTTTTTTTTTTTTTAATAAAGACACTTTATTTACAGATAGTACAAAATAAACCACAGGACAAACTACTATGCAGGGGGAGGGATGCCCCCCACAAGAACCCTCCTCCCCATCCCGGAATAACTTATGTAAAAAATTAAAAAGGCCCTAGGAGGAGGGAGGGGCAGGGCTGGAAGCACCTTTGCTGATTGGGAATTGGGGCCAGCAGTCCTCAGCCTTCTCGTTCCAGGGCCTAGTAGACCCTGGCTTGCTCCCTTCCGAGTCTGGGCCTAGCAAGGAGGGGACAGGCTGCAAGGACAGTTGGTGGCTGTTGCAGAGGCTCCTGGGCCAAGGACCCTGACTTCTGACTCTGAAGGGCTGGAGTCAGTGGGAGAGTGGCTTGGGGGCGGGCACGGGACTGGCCTTATTGCAGTGCTCTAGCTGACTTCCTCCCGGCCCTGGATGCAGATCTGCACCGGGTCCCAGGGAGCAGCTGTGTCGGGACAGGAATGCGGGGTCCTCAAAGCGACGATGTTGTTGAATCTACCACCTCCCGGCCGTTGCAAACAGTGGGGACAAACTGGGAGCCAGACCCTAGGAAAGGAAGCCAGAGATTGGGGCCAATCCAAGGCACTTTGTCCTTCCCGGAGAACGGGCAGCAGAGGAGGCAGGAGTGTGGAAGGAGGCTTCCTCCCCTGTCACCCCTCCCTCTCCTGGCCAGCCTCATCTCAGGAGCCCTCCGCCTCCAGCCAAAGAATCCCAGCAACCCAAGGAGTGGGCCCCCCGGTGGAAGAGCTGAGGCAGACCAAGGACTGCTCGGGGTGAACGCTGACCTTGGGCAAGGCTGGAGCTGGCCCTGGTGGCGGCGCTGCTGAACCGGCTGGTGGGTGCGCGGTGGCTAACCACGTTCTTCTGCGGCTGGAAAAGGATGATGTGAAGCTTGGGCGCAAAGAGACAGCCGAGCACCACGGAGCCGCTGAGGCTGACTGACACGCACATGGTGGTGGTCTGTACCTGGGATGGGGGAAGTCAAGGATGAGTCTGGCCCCAGGACCCATGCCCGAGCTGGGGGTGGGGGCGGGTGCCAGGAGGCGGGGGGGGGGGTAAGCATCCAATGCTGGGCCTTGGTCCATTCACCAAGCACCAAAGGATTTCTAGGAAGGTGGGCACAGTCCCAGCGTCAGCCTGTGGACCACCTTCCCGGAGAGATGAAAATTCCAGCTGAGGGGGTGAACATGCAGGGGTGCAGGGGCATGTGTGTGCACTGGAGTGTGTGTGCTGGTGTGTGTGTGTGTGTGTGTGTCTCTCCATGCATATGTGTGCAGGTGTGTGTGTGTGTAGGAGTGTGCGCGTAGGAGCCTGTGTGCACGCGTGGGTACTGTGTGCTTGTCCAGGTTGGTCCTTAACCACCTAGGATTGGCATGCAAATGCAAATCATATGCAAATGCAGGCTGAGTCAGAGCAGATTCCCTCCCCAGCGCTGGCCTCCACCAACCAGGCAGGTGGCCCAGCAGGCGCAACAGCAGCCAAGCCCAGCAGCCCTGGCCCCCAGCACTGCCCACCATACCTCTGTCCTGGGGGAAAGGGCCTTTGCAGGGGCTCTTGTCTTGATTTTCCTGCTCCTTTAATTGTTAAGATTGTCAGTTCAGACCCTGCTCTACACTCCCAAGCTGAATGACCTTAGGCAAGGGATTGAACCTCCCTGAGTCTCCGTTTCTTCGTCTGTAAAATGGGGAGAGCCACGGAGTTTACTCCAGCATCATGAGGACTCACCAAGATGATCCTCCTATTGTTCAGAGCTCAGCTCACCTGTCACCTCCTCCAAGAGGCCTTCCCTGACCACCCCATCTGAAGCAGCCATTGCCCCCTTGAAGCTGGGGAGACCTACTGAGACACTCAGTGCCAGTTGGAACTTTGCCTGCAAGCCACCAATTGGGGCAGAGTTTCCACCTACTTGCGCCTTCCTCAGCCCTCCATCCCAGATCTGCTGCCGCTCTGGGCTTCACCCTCTCTGCCTTCCCTGATCCAGGGGGCGCCAGGCCACACTGCACAGCTCTGAGGGGCTTCAGAGCATTGTGCCCTCTGGGGCTGCATGGTCTGATAGCCCTGCTATTTCCATTCCCTCTTTCCTTACCCTCACCTCCACCCACTTTCCACCATTTGTGCCTCACCTCCTCAACAAGGGGGGGGGTCAATGCACACCCTCTGCTCCAGTCAGCCTCTGTACTGGCTGCCCCCCACTATCTTCCCCATCCAACCTATTCAAACCTCCCTGTCCTGCAGAGCCCAGTTCAAGGACTCCTCTTCCAAGAAGCCCTCCAGGATTCTCTCTGCATGTGTGTGCGCGCGCGCGCGTGCGCACACACACACACACACACACACACCATATACACACCTTCCTCTTGCCTGCTCTTACTAGGACATTTGTCAACCTAAACAAGTCAGCAACATTTCCTGACTTAGTTCTTTAGTTGATGCCCTGATTGCCCACCCACTGGACTGGTTCTCCCCTTCTGCAGCCAGCCCCTCAGGGGAGTAGGGAGGCTCATTTAGGCATATATGAGCACCCACATCTCCTCGAGCTTAGAGGGTGACATCCGAGTCCCAAAATCTGAGCTCTAACTCCTCCACCTCCTTGGCCATTGCCTAAGGCCCCACTCAACCTTCCCACCTCCCCCTGGGGTCCAGTCCCAACTGGGTCACCATAAGCTGTGTGCCCCTGGGTGAGCATTCAGCCTCTTTGGAGCCTCAGAATGATCAGAAGAGTAAACAAAAGACTGGGAAACAGAAGGTCCAGTGCTGCCCCACCCCCCACTGCCACTCGTTGCCAGTAGCTTACCCGGTAATCACTGGAAGTGACATAGAAGATGGGCAGGAAGGCCAGCCAGATGATGCAAGTGGTGTACATGGTAAAGCCTATGAACTTGGCCTCGTTGAAGTTCTCGGGGCACTTGCGGGTCTTGAAGGCATAGAGCGTGCAGAGTGCGATGAGGAGCACGTTGTAGGCGAGTGAGCCCAGCATGCTCGCATCTCGATGGTTGCAGCGCAATGTCACCACCTCCCGCCGCTCTGGGGCTGTCTCCTTGCCCGTGCCCGGTGCCTCCACCACCAGCCAGGCGGCCACAATGAGCAGCTGGCCCGAGATAAGCGCCAGGCAGATGGCCACCTGCGAGGCCGGGCTGATGAAGCGTGGCCGCTGGGCTCCCTCCCGGGCCCCGCCAAAGATGCGCGCAATGCGGTTGGTCTTGGTGAGCAGGGCTGAGTAGCAGACAGAGAAGGCGGTGCCCAAACCGAGGCGCCGTAAGGTGCACACCACTGTGGACGGCTTGGCAATGAAGACGAAGGTCATGCAGTAGCAGAGGAAGACACCGCCCAGCAGGATGTAGCAGAGCTCCCGGCCTGAGGCCTTGACCACTGGCGTGGCATTGTGCCGCACAAAGACCCCCAGCACGAAGAGGGTGGCCAAGGCTCCCAGGCAGGCGATGGTGACGGGTCCCACGGCCCAGGCATCGCCCCAGCGGATGTACTCCTGGGGCAGCTCGAAGCAGCCAGTTAGGCTGGCGTTGGGCCAGTAGCCCAGGCCACAGTCAGCGCACGTGAACTCGTCCAGCCGGTACTCGTACGGCTGGCATGGGATGCACAGCCAGCAGCAGACCTCTCCCGGCTGCACGCTCTTCACCTCATTCTGGAGACAGGGCTCACTGCAGCGAGAGGCTGGCAGGGGGCCGGCCGAGGGTGAGGCCCATGGGATAAGGCTGGTGTCCAGGGTCAGGCCTTCTGCCCAGTAGCCCACCTTCTGATAGCGGTAGCGCCCACTGCCTGCCCGCAGATACGTGAAGATGTTGTAGCGTCCAATGCCATCACCAAAGCGGTCAAAGCGAACCTCACTCTGCGTGTCAGCCGGGCGGAAGGGGGCTGGAGTTGGGGAGGGAAGAGAAGGTGGAATTGGTGGGTAATCTTGATGTGACCTCAACCGTCACCCTACATGGAACCCAAACCCCAGACCTGAGGCCACTCCTTGTTCTTCCAAGCCTCACCCCAACACTAAAGCTGGCCTTCCCCCCAACAGCCATTTTTCTAAATGAGAAACTACCACAAATCTCAACTCTAAACCCCAAATAGAATTGCAACCTCAAAGCCCAGGCATCTCCACAAAACTAATGCCCATACCAACCCCCAGCCATGACTCCCCAAAACCTAGCCTTATACATAGTCTCCAATACCTTCCAATCCAGACCCCAACCTTATCACAATACACACCACAGCCCTCTCCCCAGACTTAATATGGACTCCCTCACAGCGGAACTCAGCCTCAGGTCCAGTCCTGGCCCCACTTAATCTTCCCAATAATAAGCCAGCCCCTCTAGTCCTAATACTGACCCCACTGCTAGCTGAACCCCAACATCAGTGATCACCTCTAACCACTGATGTTCTCCAGGATGTGCTCAGCGGGCAGCTCATGAGACTCTTTCATTCCCCATCTCCCCTTGCCCAGGAACCTCACATCTCCCAGCCAAGCTCAGGAGGAAGCAGGACCCATGTCATCCCACATCCCAGTGAGAAGTTGGGGTTCACACTAGTAGATGATGTGCTTAAGGGCCCACGGTGAATGGTGCAGCCTGGAGGCTGGCCTGCTCCTTCCAGCCAGCCTCAAAGTCCTCAGCATCCAACTCGAGCCCTCCCATATATCCCACCCAGCCTGGCGGGCTGAATGGAGCCTTGCTCTAACAGCAACCTGAGGCACCTGAACCAATCCCAACCTCTCCTCCAGTTTCCCACAACTCCGAATGTCAATTTCATTGGAATTATTATTTGTCTTAACCCTGGGCCACTAGGTTTTGGGAGCCCCGACCCTCCCCCACTGCACCCACAGTGATGCTTCCCACAGCATAGTGACAATTCTGAGGCATTTATCGTTCATAAAGCTGGAATGCTGATTAAAATAAGTTTTGGTATGTGGGGCTTCAGGGTGGCTCATCAGCTAAGCATCTGTTGATTTTGGCTCAGGTCATGATCTCAGGTTGTGAGAGCCAGCCCTGCATCAGGCTCCGTGCTCAGTAGGGAGGCTGCTTCTATCCCTCTCTCTCTGCCCCCACTCATGTGCACTTTCTCTCTCTAAAATAATTAAATAAATATATTTTTAAAAGTCTATAGGGGCACCTGGATGGCCAAGTCGGTTGAGCATCTGTCTGGCTCAGGTCGTGGTCCTGGGGTCCTGGGATCATGGTTCCCTGCTCAGTGGGGACCCTGCTTCACCCTCTTCCCCTCCTCCCACTTGTGTACTCATTCACTCTCAAATAAATAAATAAAATATTAATAAACAAATGTCTATAAAAACAAATTTTGGTATGAAGAGACTGTGGCCACCTTAAAAAAAATCAGGTCAAAGAATAGAATTTTCCCAGAAAATGGAGTGTCCCCTGATGCTCACTCTCAACCCACCCTTATTCTGATTCTCACTGTTTTCCTGCCCGAGAATGGGCTTGAGGGCCCCCAGTCCCTGCTCCCTGCATGATAAAGAAGCAGGGGAGAGAAAGAGAACAAGACCCAAGCAGGAACTAGAGACCCTCAAAGTGTAGGACCAGACCAGAAAGAGGAACCCCAGTCCCAGCTCCGGTGGGAGTGCCCCCTGTCTAGCCATCCTTGTCCTGGCTATGCCAGCCCCTGGGGGGCTCCCTGACTTGCTATAGGTTACATTCTCTTAGCCAGTTAATGGAACGTGAGGGCCCGTCCCTCTCACCCTCCAAAGGGCAAGAGCCTGGTGGCCACTGGCCAGCCCCATTACCATCAAACTTGACGTTCAGCACAAAGTCCTTGTAGAGGCGGCGCCCGTTGACAGGTCGCATCGCATCGCAGAGCTGGGTGGTGTTGGGGCAGAGGGCTCGGTGCATGTTGTGCAGCGCGTGGGCCATGGCATAAACTGCATTGACCACGAACATGATCTTGGACTCCTGCTCAAAAGGCACCGCCCGCAGTGAGTGGGCGGCGCAATCTCGCTGCCGGAAGCTGCAGTGGAACCTCTGCTCCCAGAACTCCCGGAACCAGGGGTTCCGGCTGTTGTTCCAGGGGTCCAGGCTCTGGAAGTAGGAGGCAAAGTCGCTGATGGGATAAGAGGCCAGCTCGATAGTGATGGCGCCCTCAGCGGCCCCCTCGCTGCCGGCCACCACGCTCTCCAGCGCCCCCCAGCCATCGCTGGCCACCCAGGTGAAGCTGGCATTGAGGCGCTGGGTGGCCGCGAGGAGCTCGCGCGCGTCCTCGGAACGGGTAAACAGGACAGCCACGCGGGCGCTGGGCTTCTGCAGCAGGGCTCGCACCACACCCTCAAAGGCCCCGCGGCTCATGGCACGGCCCACCTTCTCTGAGGTGGCCACGCAGATGTTGCGGGCGCGGGCCTCTAGCTCAAAGGCTTCAATGCCTGTCTCGCCATAGTCGCCCTCAGATGCCACAGTGGACACATAGGTCCAGTTGAAGAAGCGGAGGATCTCAGCCATGGCCTTGGCTTGGAAGAAGTCGGGGGGCACTGTGCGGGCAAAGTAGTCATAGCGGGACTTGTCGCTCAGCTTGGCACTGGTGGAGGCATAGCTGATCTGTGGAATCTGAAACAGCCGCAGGAGGTTGGCCACCTGGGGGAGGGGCAGAGCCAGCAAGGATCAGAGATCAGATCAAACTCAGACAGATGTGCTCTTCACAGCTACTTGACCTTGGGATCAAGTGTCTATGTAGTCAGCCTTGCCATCTCCCTCACCCCAAAAACCTCTATCCTGTCTTGATATGTCTTCCCTTGGAGGGGGGCAGGGAGTTTTCCACCCCTTCTCAAGGGCTGGGAGAGAGAGGACCTAGGGCTGAGGCACCAGTCTCCTGAGCCACATGAGGACCCCTCTACTGTCCCCCTTCAGATGCCTAGCAGTAGCAAAAGTAGGGAGGCAAGAGAATCCTGAAACTGGGAAGAGGCTGGCACTTGGCTACACATGGCAGGGGCGGGGGACACTAGCTGGCATATGGGATGCTCAAGGCTCTTAGGTTCTCTACCTATTTGGAAAAGCTATCCCTTCTCCAGAGTCCATCCTCATGGGATGATGGAGAAAGAGGGAAAAGGCTTCCCCAAGAAAGAAGGCCCAGATCTGAGGGCCCTATGGGCCTGAGAGGCCAGGAATTGGTCTCCTTTGGACGGGTGAGCTCAAAATAAATAAGGCTTCCTGCTTACCACTGTCTGCCTGGGTCCTGCCCCCAAGAGTGGGTTCCAGACAAGGACCTGGTGTGTTGGGTAGGTGAGAGCAGGACAAAGCCCAGTTTCCACGGCAGGGAGTTAGGTCCTGTCTTTGCATCTGAGCACAGGCCATTACTGTGACAGTCTCAGTGCCCTCTCCTCTTGTACCTTCTGCCTCTATGGCCCTGGGAACTTTAGCAAACCTCCCTGAGCCTCAGTTTCTCATTCATGCCTGACAAGGTTGCTGAGCAGATAAAAATGAGAATGCCTGTGAGGCCACAGTGCCTGACATATGGAAGATGAGAGGGATCTGGGCAGGAGGCAGGAATGAGGTAGAATGATGAACAGGCAGGTGCAGCCTAAGGATGAGGAGCTGAGCCTTGTTTTGACTCAGACAAGGAAAAAGCAAACCGATGTGAAGTGTGGGCCCCACTACAGGAGGCAGACAGCTTGGGGTGGGAGGAAGGTAACTGAGCTCCTGGAGATGATGCATGGAGCCCTAGAGAACTATGGAGAGGATGGGTGCTAGGAAAGCATCCCCAAGGCCCCTGAAGACATCAGGTGGGAGGTGGCAGATGTGTGTGCTGGCACAGCCACACCTGTCTAAGCTGCTACCTGCCACCTCCAGTTAGCTGGGACTAGCAGAACTGGTAGTTCACTGCCTGTGGTAGGGGGATGAGCAGGCATCCCTGATCCCAGGCCAGAAGCTACCTCCTGCCTCATTTCTCCTGAATAAGGATTCCAGGTCAGGGGGTCCCGGCCCTGCCTCTGATTGCAGTGCCCTCAGCCAGCCTCCTAAAAGAAGCTAAAGTACCGGCCAAGGCCCTCCTTGCAAATCCTGACTCTCATCCCAGTTCTGGCCTCATCTGGCAGCCCACTCTGGGCACCAGGCAGATAAGGGTCCACCTACGAAGCGGGACCCGGTCCAGGAGGGAGAGGATCCCACCTGGACTAAAGCAGCCAGGTATGCCCAGGTGTATCAGCTGGGCCAGTACCCTCCGCTTACCTCTCATGAGAAAGCAGGAAGAGGGAGGGTCCCTCACCTTGCCATCCCTTCAAATCCTGGACACCCTGAAGACCCTAGGGGACCCTCCCCCTGCCACACACATTTGGCTTCTCTTCCTCTGGGGTCCCCACCTCTGTTTCTCTTCCCTGGGCTGCTCCTGGCTTCTATCTTCCACCCCTTTCTAGCCCATGGAGAGATGATCTGACAGAGCTGGAGGTCCTTGGGCAAGAGCCCGAGGGGAATGTCTCCACTTTGCCAGCACCTGCCTCTCTTCAAGCCTCAGTTTCCCCATTTATAAAACAGGGTACTAGTAACAGCAGCTACTACTAAGCATGCCTCTGATACATGCTTTGCATGTAAATTCCTACCACAACCCTAAGAGTGGCAAGCATTCTGAGTCCTGTTAGTCTCTAAGGAGGAAATGGAGGCACAGAAAGGAGAAATAATGTCCAGAGTCACAGATTGTATAGGGAAGCCAGGGTTCAAACCTGGAGTTCTGACTCAAGAGGCCTGGCTACTAAGCTTCCCAGGGTGTTTAACCTCAGGGGTGTGTGTGTGTGTGTGTGTGTGTTAGAACCGGGCTGTTTTCCTTACACAATCTCTAAAAATCAAGCCCCATTATGCGACAGGGGCACTTTCTTAGTATTCCACAAAAAGCTACTCAAAGGAAAAGCTCCTAGCCCCTTTTCCAATGCATGGCAGCCTGGTGCCCCTGCTCAAAGGGAATTCTGGGCCCCACCTCCAGATTCCCTCCCTAGCCCCTAGGTGGGCAGCCCCCACGTACCTGGATGGAGACATCACTGTAGGAGCCGCCAATGACACCAGTGATGGCAGTGGGAGCATCACCGTGGGTGGCATAAGAGCCGTCAGGGCAGATGTGGCGTGAGCCGTCGGCACCACGGCTAAGCGACGCACGCACGAAGTCGAGTGCCTGCTCCAGGGCGTGTGTGTCCTTGGAGCAGCTGTCGAGGATGTGCGCACCTAGACGCACACCCGGGAGCAGGTGTGGGTCACGGTTGATGTGGTCCAGTGCAAAAAGCATGGCCTCCAGGCGCTGGATCCCTCGATGCTCATTGACAGGCCCACACTCCTCTGCTGGGCCACCCTTCTGGTGTACCGGGAACAGCCCACCCAGGACCAGATCCCCCTCCAGGGTCAGCACCTTCTTGGTGGGGCCCTCAGCCACAGCGCCCCAAAGCAGCAGCAGTGCCAGAAGCCCAAGCAGTGATCCCATAGTCCCAAAGGGGATGGATGTGTCCAGCAGACCTGGGCCTCCAGGGGATGAGGGTAGAAGCAGCAAAGGCAAAGAAAGGAGGAAACAGGGACCAGGAAAGGACAGGCAGGAAGAGAATTAAGAAGGGGCCCAGCTCCTGCAGAGAAAGAGACAGACAGACAAACAGGGAGAAGTGGAACCCGAAGAGTAGCTACCTTTCTGACTCTGTCTTCCCCAATTCCTTCCCTTGGAACTTTTTTCTAGGGATCCAGGGATAAGTAGTATCACAAACTAGGCTGAGAAGCTCCCAGACACCCCTTGGCCTGTTTCTCAGCTTTGCCCTGATCTGGGTCTATAGATAGGCTCTGTGTCCATTGCATACTCAGCATAAAGGGAGGGAGGCAGAGAGTAGAGGACTAGACAGAAGTCAGGAGACCCCAACCAACACCAATCCTGTTATGAATGAAAGAGTTCCCAAGACCTTGCACAAACTTCCCAGGACTCCTAAGTCTTTGCCTTTGCAGCAGGGGCCAGGGTAGAGTATAAACTTAGGGGTCTAGTCCCTATCCTGAGCCTTGCATTTCCAGAGATGGGCCACTGTGGCTTAAAACCACCAGGGAAGAGGGAAGGAAAAGTCTCCAAAGGGTAGTTTCCAACTCCTAGAGGGACCCGAGCCCAGGTAAGCACCCAAGGGTCCTAGCCCCTAGTTCTTAAAAATCCATAGAGCCGGGGCGCCTGGGTGGCTCTGCCTTCAGCTCAGGTCATGAGCTCAGGGTCCTGGGATCAAGCCCCACATCGGGCTCTCTGCTCAGCAGGGAGCCTGCTTCCTCCTCTCTCTCTGCCTGAGTCTCTGCCTACTTGTGATCGTCTGTCAAATAAATAAATAAAATCTTTAACAACAACAACAAAAAATCCATAGAGCCCCCTGTGGAAGTAATAGAGACTCTAGGCTGTGGGAATTTGACAGCAAGGTGGAGAGGTTGGCCCCAGGGAGGGACACTGAAGTGGCCATAGATCTTAGATCATAGATCAATAGAGAAAGCAGATCAGATGTGAGCATACGTGTGTCCAGGGACAGGGACAGTTCATACGGTCAGAATTTGAAAAACAGTGCTCAAGGTGAGACTTTTGGACACCTTAGCTCTGCATAGAATGCTGTTTGAGACTTTATGCCCCTGTGTTTTCTTCAGCTCAGATCCAAGCAGAGAAAGTCACCACCTCTAATCTCCCTATCCTCATCCTCTCCCCATCCTGTCCACCCTGGCCCTAGCCCTCAGGGACTCCTCCTTCCCTCTTCCACTCTCCGCTTCATTTGTATCTCAGCTATGCTCCCAGATGCCAACCCACATAGGCTCTCACAATCATGTAGGCTTGGGAAGGCTAGGAGAAGGAAACTGAGGCTGAAGAAGGCCTCTTCTTCTGAAGACGGCCACTAGTTCAAGGACCCCGTGTCCTGGCCACAGAGACTGGGATTCCTCACTTTGCCCCTCAGCAACTCAGGGTTAATCTCCCCCCTCATGCCATGGCAGGGAGACTGGGATCCTGCGGGTACCCAGAAAGAAGCAGCTCAACCAGGCAACCAGGAGAGAGAGGCAAGCATGAAGACCAGGACAGATGGGGAAGGGACCCAGATGGGGAAGGGACCCAGATGGGGGCTGAGGCCCAAACTGGTCAAGACCACAAGCCTCCCACAGGGGCAGCCAGGACCAAAATCCGGACAGGGACAATACCCTGAAGGGAGACGGAACCCCAGAGGGGAGCAGCCAGGGGGCCTGGGCAATGAAATCCGGGCAGGGAGTGATTGAACCCCAGAGGCTGACACAAAGACAGAGGCACAGAAAGACAGACCAAAGGATGAAAGGAGAGGAGGAACGAAAGAACGTGATGCAGGGTGTGCATTCTCTGGGGAAGAAAGGCGGGATGCCTGGGGCGGTCTTCCCGCTTCCAAGAGCTCCCGGCAGCACTGTCTGGACGCCCTGGCCCGGGAGCCCCAGAACTCGAGGGCCCCGCAGGTCTCCGGGACATGGGGTCAGGATCGATAAGGTTGGCTACGGCCGCGGCACCACGGGCTTACCCTACCTGGCGTGCCCGACTCCGGCGCAGAGAAACGGAGAGGAGCCGGGGGCGCAGGGTTCCAGCTCTCGCTCGCTGGCTTGCTCCCTCGCTCGGCAGCTCTGCGCTCTCCGCCCGCCCGCTCGCCCAGCCGCTTTCAATCGCGGCCCGCCCCGCCCCTGGCCCCGGCCCGCCCCCAGCCCCTCCCCCGTTCCTCCCCACTCCGGATCTCCCGCTCCCAACCCGGCCTCCGCCTCCCTCCAGACTCCTGCACGGCTCCTTGCCCTGTGCCTCCGGCTCCTGGATCTTCGCGGGGCTTCCGTCCCGGAGCTGTCCACCGCGTGGTGCTGAATCCTCGGGCGCTCCAGCTCTGCGCCGGAGCAGGTGCCTATCAGCCCCCTCTACCCCTCGGTCAGAATGCATGCAGCCCACAGAGCAGCGGGAACTGGACACGGGGCTACGAAGGTCACTGAGCCCCAGGAGGTGCACGCAGTGTTATGGGGTCCCATCTTTGAGAGCAGAGGGGCTAGTCTTAGGGTTGCAAGGTGCCATTGGGAGATAGGGAAGGAGGCATGTGGGAGATAGGTAGCTTAGCCTGCTGCGACAAGTCTGTCCCTGTCCTCACATCCATTCTCTCAATCCACAGACTGCAGCTCAGTCCACATGCCAGGCTTGGGGTGGGGGCATGTGTCTTTGGCCCCATGTGAGAGTGGGGCCTGAGTCACTAGGAGGAAGAGATGGGGGGTGGGTGGTCAGAGGAGGATGGGGCCTCCTCTTCCTGCAGATGACCTTTAAATCTGCTACCCAACCCCCCCACACACACACACCCAGCCCTGACCTCCTCTCCCACCAACCTCACTAATCCCCACCCTCACATACAAAGGGCATTTATGGCTAAGATATATCAACCTGGAGAGTATGGGGGATGCTGCAGGGGCAGGGACTAGGGTCAACCCTAAGGGACATGCTGGGGCTGGCAGGGGGATCTGGGAGGGCAGGGGGGTGGAGAAGAGGCTCCTGAAACTGGCTGCTGCGTAGGAGGGAATGGGAGCTGGAGCCCAAGCAGAGGGAGGACAGCTCTGAGAAGATGCTCTTGACTCTTCTTCCCTCCTGCAGCAGAATGGAGGACGCCCTGGGTAGAAGGTGGTGGATACACTGCAGCATCCGCTTGTGCTGAAGGGTCTGGAGAGGGGCCTGCACCTGGGTTTAGCCCCAGAGCCTGCACACACACTGGGTGCCAAGGCACATAACATCCCGGCATATGCTCCCAGGCGCTGCCCTTTCTTCCACAGGTGTCACTAGAGGCAAAGCTAGCGCAGACACATGCTAATGAGCACATGGCAAGCCCAGGTCCCTCTGGCACATACATCTAATATGCGTGTCGCAGTTAGGGGGGGAAGGGTATCACCAAGGAAGGACAGGCTTTGTCCCTGGACACAGAAACCTGATGCCCCACTGCACTGGGGAAAGCACAGCTGTGAAACAGACAAATACACCAAACCCAAACAAACCCAAACCCCACTGCTAATGGGAGGTGAGGTGACAGCAGGATGAGGGTTCAGGGTTGTCAGACAAGGCTGGAGACACAGATACACTGTCTTCCAGCTCTGGCTAGTTCAAAGCAACTACTGCCTGGTGTCGGTGAGTGAGGAGCTGGGCCCTTGGAACAGAGGGGCTGGTAGCAGCAGGGTGCTGAAGGAAGAGGAGCCGCACAGCAACCCCAGCCCTCTCACTGAGGTAGCCTCACAGAAGACCTCAGGGCTTTAGACCAGTACCAGTTCCGGAGGCGCACTCTGCAGCCCACGGTGAGGGGCTAAGCAGCCCTGTTGCAGCATCCGGACCTGCCCCCAGCCATGCAACCACGACTCCCAACTGTGTGCACAAAGACACCCAGCCTTACAGAGCTGTGCATACGCACATGGCCGCACACACAGAAGCACATGCAACCTCACACAAAGCTGTGCACACAGACGCAGCAGTAACACATAAATTTACATGCAGACACACAACTGTATTCATGGACACACAGTCCCGTACACAGAGCCATACATATGGACATGTCTACACACAGATAGCTAAACTCACACACACAGCTGAACTGACCTACAGCTTTACATGTGGACACACAGAAAAGCACACAGCCTTCCACATGAACACAGAGCGGTACAGCTGTACACAGACACATAGCTACACACAGATAGCTGCGTATGGACAAAGCCCCCAGAGCGACGCTCCTGGCCAGCCAGTCTCGCAGCCCTGGTAGCAGGGGCCCATACAGTTAGCAGCATTCCTGGCACATCATCACGTAGCCATCCACACAAACGCAGCCATACCGAGCCCCAACCACATCCTAATGCCTGCTGGGGCACAGCTTGCCAGGGCCACCGCAAGCAGACGCAGCCATGGTTACACACATAGAAGCAAAGGCCCATGTGCACGTATGTGCATGTATACACACAGGTACACAGACATGGGCAGGCACAGCGGGGATGGCCTCACCTGCTGAGCAGACACAAGCATGAGTGCAGGCACACTCAAGCTACAGACACTAAGGCATCCCTTGGAAGCAAAGGCAGGCTCTGTGAGCTCCCCACTCCCAAGCCCTGAAGGGCACCCCATGCTTGGTTCTCACTCCCCCTGACCTGCTCTGCCTGTTTCCCAGCAGCCTGGGGGAGCCTCTGGGGCTGCTGCAATGAAGGAACAGCTGTAACCCAGGGCCACAAAGCTGGGAGTGGGGGGCCTTCAATACCCCTTTCCTCCTCTCAGCCCAGAGTCCCTTGCCACACTTCTTCCTCTCCTCGGGCTGGGTGCTCCTGCCCACTCCCAGTCTATCTGCACAGGGCTCCTCGAGGTGAACACACACACACACACACACACAACACACACAAATGCACAGCCCAGGTCCAGGGGAAACGAGAAAACCATCTGCTTTATTCTGAGTCCTGGAAGCTCCAAAGTGAATCTGAAAAAACACGTCAGAGGGGCAGGAGCCCCAGGGTCTGGGTGCAGAACACAGTCCTTGGCTCCTTTAGCCCTGGGAGCCGAGAGGGCGGTAAAAAGGCTTAGCGAGAGCATGGGGCAGTGGAAATCAGGTCCCCACTGGGACCCCTGGCCCCAGCCTGGGCCTGAGAGGTGAAGGAGGAAGAGGGCTGGAGAGTCTGCTCAGTTCCTTAGCAAATGCAACCCAGGAGGATGCGGGCCTAGGGTTACTCCTCACCCTTCTCGGGAGTACTAGGTTCCCGTGGCCACTTGGAAGTCCCCAGGGGCTCAGCCTCAGGGCTCAGCCTTGGCTCCCCCAGGGGTCCCTCGCCTTCCAGGTCCAGCTCCTCAAAGGATGAGCCACTGGCGCCTGACTCACTATAGCTGTGCTCACTGCGGGTGTCACCGTCGTCCCAGCCACGGCTGCTCACCCCAGGGGACAGTGTGGCAGCTGAAGTCTCCCGGCTGCCAGGACCCACCTCCAGGCTCACAGAACTTGTGTCACTCATCGTATCAGCTCCTGGGCCAGGAAAAGGGAGCACACGTTAGCTAGGACCCCCATTCCCTCCTCCAGGGAGAGGACAGACAACCTCCACTTGCTCGGGAACCAGCATGCACAGTGTGCTCATGAGTAATAAAGTGGGCCCTACCTCAAGAGGCTCATTCCAGAGGCCCTCTGCCCTGGCCAGAGCTACACTGACAGGGCAAAGGGAGGGATGGAGGGAGAGAGGACAGCATGCTGTGCACTCCTCTCCCTCCCCTTGAATTAGCCTCACAACTCCCTGCGCTCCCACAAAGCCTGCTGCCCCCCCACCCCCCAAGAGTCCATTAAGGACCACTCAGCCCTGAGGTGGAGAGCTAAGGGTAGAACAAAGAGATTCAAGTAATGTCCCCTCCTCCACATCCCATTTCAGGCTTGGAGAAAGGTTTGTCCAAGGCCAGCGTGCCCATAAGGCATGAGGATGGGAGAATGGACCAGAAGGCCTACTCTCTTGTCCCCTCCCCCATGCGGGGCTCCCCAGGGAACAGCCACATTCAGGAAGGCAGCTGGCCTCAGCCTCTGGCCCCACAGAGCCCTAGTTTGAGGAGGCAGCTAGGGCATAGAGAAGTGGGATAGAGAAGTCTGGAGAAACCAGTTGCAAGGAAGGAGGATACTAGGATAAAGCATTTTAAGGGCTTTCTTCCCCTATGGCTGGGCCACCCGAGAGGAGCCCTTAATTATCCCCAACCATTACTGCTGGTTCCTGAGCCACAAAGCAGCAGAAGGGGACCATGAGCACTGTGCTGGCAGCTGAAGAGCCCTGAGACAGGGCTGAGGGTCTAGATCCCTCCCAGTATGTTCCTCCCACCCCTAACACATCCTCCAGGCAAGTAGACACTTCATTTGCCCTGTTCAGGAGCAACCCCTCAACTCACCTCCCCAGATCAGAGGTACTAACAACAGTTGGGGGAGTGGGGTAGGGAGAGGAAGGGACAAAGAGCTCAGGCCCACTGTGTAGGAATCCAGATTGAGAGAAGGCTGATATGCACCCCCTTCTGTGTGAGAGGGAGAGGGGCAGCTGTCAAACATCACAGAGGTGAGGGGTGGGCCAATTTCCCCAGATCCAGTCTCCATGGTGATGCAACCCTGAGCCAGGAGCAGCTGGGAACTGCTTGCTTTTGGACTTGGCCTGGAACTTCCACTGTGTCTCAGATGGGGACTAAAATAAGGGTGGGGGGATTTGGGGGTCTGCTCCTTCAGTTCCCTTGGCCCTAAGAAGATATCCCTTGGGCCTACTGGCAGAGGTGAGGTAGGCTCTGGAAGTGCTAGCCTACTAGCCCAGGGCCCTCTTCTTGCTGGGGCCCCAGTCATGGCTCCCAGAATAGAGGCAGCCAAGTGTAAGCTTGGGCTATATCCTGAGTTATGGGTGGTTCCTTCTGACTTTAGGGCATGACTCCAGCCCCTTATTCACTCCTTCAGTGGGGATAATCAGTGCTCCAGAGGCTGCAGGCCTGAAAGAAGCAAATGAAATGGGGCTCCCAGGCCCCATTAAACTGTCATGTTCCACCAGCCCACCTACCCAATGGCTCTCTTGGGACCTGAGTACGGGAACGTGCTGCTTGCCAGGAGGCTGACTCCTCCCTGTCCCAGCTCCTGGGCTAGGAACAGTCAGAGGATGGAGCCCAGGGATGGCCCTTCAGGTTGGGGCCCAGGATGCTCAGATGAGGCCAGCCCCTGGGGGGACATGTGGACACCTCTGGCAAATGAGTCCAAGGCAAGGAAGTGGCATCCCTCCAGCCCCACCATGGTCTGCACCAGAAGAACTTCCAGAGCCTTGGACCCCTGTCCCAGGACAGAAAAGGCCAGGCAAGGAAGGGCAGAACCTAAGTCTTTAGGGCTGCCAGGGCAGAGAATGAAGCTGCCACCTTCACCCCAGTCCCTCCCTCCTCCACTGCCCACAGCCAGTGCAAGGAGATCAAATATTCATTGCCTCCCTGGAGCTAAATAATACATCAATGTAATAACAGGCATAAGGCAGCTAATCACCCCCTTTCACCTCCTAGCCCAAGCGGCGGCCCCAGTGGGGAGGAAGTCAGGGGCACGCCAAGCCCTGGGCAGCCAGGCACCCAGCACACATTGCTGTGCAAATGGCATGCACCTGGCAGGCACATACTCAGAGTCCGCCCTGGGTGTCAGGGCAGATCCTGTCAGAGGTGGGCCGACTCCACGACCCCCCTGCCCAGCAGGGAGTGGGTGGGCAGGCTAGTGAGGAAGACAGGCCAAGGCACTGGGGGCGTGGGAGCCACGCTGCAGCCAGCTGTAGCGGGTGCCAAGCAGTTCTTTAATATCCCTGGCAGGCAGTGTTTGGGAGAAAGCTGGGTGGGTGGGCTGAGGACGGGAGTGTAGACAGCAGAGGGAGGTCGAAAGAAGGTCAAGACACTCCCCCTTCCTGCCCTAGAGACTGCCTGGGCCTGCTGACCTTGTGCCATGTCTTGTGCTCACAGTAGGCGCACTGAAGAATGTCTGCTGGGCATTACCAGGCGGGTGGGAACAGTGCCCCACGGAGGTAATTAAACAGCAGATGAAGTTAACTGTGTTGGACACGGCCTCTAGGGAGTGGTTGCCTCTCAGTACCCTTACCCCCCGCCACAACATATGCCTTTCTAGGATGACCTTGGTTATTGAAGATTGGCTGGACAGAGGAAGTCTCCCAAAGAAGGAGGGATAGCCACTCTCCTCCCAGCTATCTACTGGGGGGAGTGTACCACTCCCACAGGTCATGGACCTCCATCACCACACAAGGCTCCAGCAGCGCGGACTAGGGCTGGGCCCCTTGGGATGTTACCAGCAGGCCCTCTTGCTCCTGGGGACAGCCTGGCAGGGAGGTGGGTTGAAAGCCAGCAAATTACCAGCTGGCCTAGACCTGGAGGACGAAGGCTAGCTCTGGTGGAAGGGGCAAGGGGCTGATCTCCTGGCTCCCCTCGGCAGGCTCTCTGGTTGTTCTTCAGCAGGGAGAAAGCAGCTGCCTCTGGGTAGGGCTCCGTACTGGGAACACCCTGTTCTCTCCTCTCTACCTTCCAGATCCAGGGCCAATCTTACTTTCTGATGAGCCCCACCCAAGTGATGCCTTTCCTGAATAGCCCCATCCCCCAGGGTCCCATGAGCATCTGTTTCCAAAGGTACTTCTCGTGGCATCTGCAGGGTCATTGTATCTGTACTGCCAGGGCTAACATGTGTGAACCCAATCTGCATGGATCCATGTATCTAGAAATAGGCAATTCTCATGTGGGTTGTGGGGTGGGCAGGTTTCCTTCCTCCACCTCTGCCAAGCTTAGTCTGGACACCCACAGTGGATAGGCTCCACGCAGGGCCCCACCCTCCATACCTGTGCCATCCATCTGGGTGTCACTGGCCTCTGCAGGCCCCCGGCTTTTCCGCTCTGTCTCCTTCACCTCAGGCACATAGAAGTCTCCCTGTCGTGCCAGTGGGCACATGAAATAGATCTGGTCTTGCTGGTAGATCTCCAGCCGAGGGTGGGCACACAGCTTCCGCTCCTTGTCAGAAAGTGGCAGAAGGTGAAATGAACCTTACAGGGCTTCTGACCCACCCACCCCTAAAAGGCCCTAGGAACTATCTATTGCTCACTCCCTCCCAGAGGGCTGGCTCCGCCTCTTGCCTCGATCTCCCCCAAGTACCAAACCCCTGCTGAGGGAGGCACACACAGAGCACCCTAAGGGCAGGGCCCCAAACTCCAGGAGGCAATGATCTAAGGACCCAGAAGTCCTTGGGACAACACCCTGGGACAGGTGCTACTAGAATCCAGGGGCCTGGCACTGCCCCCGGCACCACTAAACCAACCTATCCATACCTCTGACCAAAAGGCTGTCCCAGAAAGCACTAGTCTCAAGTAGCCATGATGCTTAGCTTCCGACTACCCCAGGGACAGGGACCCCAGGGACAAAGGCCCCAGGCACCCAAGCCCAGCCAAGCCAAGTTCTGACCTGCTAGACTTCCCATCTCAGCATCCCCTGGCTGTGACCTCCTCTCCACCCTGGACAGTGTTGACCGACCCCGATATCTCAGGAAAGGCCAGGGCCCCTGACCCTCAGGCCTCCGGCCCCTGCCCTCACAGACATATTACTGACGGACCATGGACAGGTGCTCCAGGCCAGTGAAACCCTTCTTTCACTCCCATTCTTTCCTAGTTCAGGTCTAAGCCAACCTCCAAGACTATCACATATGCTTGGTTCCCTGCCTTCTGGCACCTGCCCAGAGTTTCGGCCAAGGAGGAAGAGGCAGATCCTAGGCTAGAGGGGTAGGCAGGACAAGTAGAACCAGCACTGGACATTATCCTGACTCCCCAGCTGGCTGAAGTACCAGTTTATAGGGCCCCGAGTCCTGAGACAGGCACTCCCCTCTGCCTGGCCACAGAGCCTGAAGTGTCCCTCTGCCAGTGTGTATGGAATGGCGCACAGACACATGCCAGAGCTGCACCAAGGCAGGCAGGAACAATCAGGACAGGGGTCAAGAGCATGCTGCTCCCCGGCCTGCCCCCCTTTCCTGCAATGGAGCGCAATTATCCACTAGGATGACTGTGAGGCCCCTGCCCTGTCGCTGCTCAGCCACCAACCTTCACAACACGACTATTTATAGCACCCGCCCGGCGCTCACGAGCTCTGAAATGAGCCTTCCACTTAGCAGTAATGAAAGACTTAGCACCTGGTAGGGAGAAGCCACTCTAGGACTCCACTTGTCCACCTGCCTGGCCAACATTAGAGCTGAGGACCCCTTCCAATTAAAGCAGAGAAGAAGTGTACAAAATGAACCCCTCTGGCAAAGACAAGAAGAAAGGTGAGCCTGAAGGTTTATGAGTCAGGGTGTTCAGCAGCCACTGGGGGACAGGGTATGTCTAGGAGCCCACAGGGAAGGTGGGTGGCCTGCCCAAAGTCTGGCTGCAGCTCAGCTAGCCAGACCGCATGGGTAACCCAAGCAAGGCCCTGCACCCGAAGTCTCAATGTGCTCAAACACAGAGAGGGACACCCCAACCCTGACATCCCAGGATCAGTGAAGGAAATTCATTATTTTTAATACTTTTTTTAAAAAAGATTTTATTTACTTATTTGACAGAGAGATCACAAGTAGTCAGAGAGGTGGTGTGGTTGGGGGGGAGCAGGCTCCCCGCTGAGCAGAGAGCCTGATGCAGGGCTTGATCCCAGGACCCTGAGATCATGACCTGAGCCGAAGGCAGAGGCCCAACCCATTGAGCCACCCAGGTGCCCCTACTTTTAATACTTTGAGTCCAGTTTTTGGTTTTTGGGGTTTTTTTTTTTTTTGCCAACCTGGGTGTTCTTCATGCCACCTCACAAATCCACATGCCCAGCTCCTCCCATCTCTGCACACACTGACAGCTGTCTCTGCTTCTCCAGCTGCCCACACACTCACCCGGCCCTGATCCTCGGGAGGCTGAACAAGAACACAATGTCAGGAAGCAGGAGCTACCAGGCTCTGGAGCTTCCCTACTGCCAGCACCTGGGAATGAGCATCTGCCAAACCTGAGCTCCACTCAGTGAACTGAGCCATGTCACCAAGCCCAGGGTCAGGGGGTTCCCAGGAGAAGGTACAGGCCCTTCCCCAGTAGCTAGAGGGAAGAAAAATACCCCCAAACCTAATCAGGGCATGGCTTTCACCAATGCGCCCATGCCCTCTCTGGGCATTTAACAGTCCAGAGGAAATTTGCTAAGCGGTCATCAAGCTGGTAGCCTGTCTCTCAAGGGCCATAGACATTTGGCTTTGGGGATGCTCCCAGGAAGCAGAACCTGTGACCACCAAGAAATTCCAGGGAGAGTGGAATCCTACCCCAACCCTTATCAACACTCAAGCCACCTCCCTAAAGCTTCCCTTCTGGAAGTAACAGGGGTAATAGGAGGGAGTAGTCCTCTTTTCCCTCTCTCCTCTAGGTTGGGCATCAGGGTGGGCAGGACCAGGCAGCCACCCTTACCACCTGCTCTGCCAGCCCCCTCATTGGCAGGCGGGAGGCAGCTCTGTCGCTGCTCTGCACAGCTGCCCCCTCCGGAGAGCCCGACTCTGAAGTTGCCTGGCTGTGGACAGCCCCATTGCCATGGAAACTGCATCCTCCATCCTTGCCGTCGCCTTCATCTCAAAGCCATTGGGGAGAACAGAGGAACAGGGGAGACAGAGGAGAGAGAAAACTGGCCTAGCTACACAGCCCTTCCTTCCCTGCCTGGCTCTCCCTCCTTGCAGCATCCCACACAGGGAGTGCCAGCTGCCCAAGCCTGCCCCCAGGCCCCTGCAGGAGCAGCCTCCCACCCAAGCCCAGCCTCGTCCTACCCCTACCACCTGGGGGCCCAGGCCCTCCCCAGTGGAGGGAGGCATGGAGCTAATTAAAAATCTCATTGACAGCTTAGCCTCGAATCATTTTAACACATGCCAGGTCCTGTCAAAATTCAGACTCAGGGGCAAAGGAGAGGAGCAGGAAGAAGGCAGAGGTGCAAACCTCCAACTTAGGCCCATAGGCAAGAAAGGTGTTTATAGCTGTCTGTGCAGCCTCTCCTCAAGATCGCCCTCCCATCCCTGTTCTGCCCCAGAGTAATAATGAGCCCAACTGGGACTGGGGCAGGGGAGGAGGGACAGGACTAGCCATAAGCCCTGTCCCTAAGTGACAAGGCATAGGACAAGACCTTTCCCTCCCAGCCAGGTACAGACTCTAAGGGAAGAGAGGGTAACCATGGGCCAGCTCTCAGGTCCTCAGTACACAGCAGGAGCTGTGGCCTGTGCCTCATGTCGATGAGCTGATAAATATTGGAAAATCATTGGAGGAAGGCAAGACCAGCTGCTTCTCCCTCAGCTAGCCCCAGGGAGCCCTTGGAGAACAGACTGCCAAGGGCCAAGGACACCAAGTCAATGCCACGCTGGGCTGGCACTGCTGGGGAAAGGAGTGTGGATGGGCCTGGCATCCTTCCAGTCCCGGGGATACCCCCTCCCACAGCCCAGACAGCCAGACACTCCAGGAAGCATCACCAGGACAGGGGAACCTGCTCTGCCCACTGAAGCTACTGGCCATCTAATGAAGCCACAACCCACAGCAACTCACTCTTGCACAGAATCAAGGGGACCACAAGGTCTCTCTCCAAGGAAGGAGAGATGCAGACATCCACAATGCTCCCCACCTAACAGGAAGAAGTCACCGTGCTACGGTGCCAGCAGCGACTGCTAGAAGAGGGATTCAGGAGCTCTAATCCCTCAGACACATCTCCAAGTCTTGCTCTCCACAGCAGAAACAAGATGGGGACTTGGAACACCAACCACAATGCAGGGATTTCCGGGGGACCTCAGTCTGCAGCACCTCCCCCAATACCCCTGCTGCACTGACAGGGGCTTACCTCTCCACAGCCAGGGGTGCCGGCAGACAAGGGAATGAGCGGCACACACAGGCCGCCGTGGTGCCGCTGCCTCAGCTATCTGGGGAACACACCACACATTCTGTTCGCATCTCAGGCTGGACTCATTCCTGGGTGGGGGGCACAGATTTGGCCCACACAGCTCAGAGCTCCTGCAGAGGCTCAGATGGCTAAGGTTTCCCCACAAAACCCACAGTGCTGCCCCGGGGAGTTCGTACTACATCAGGGGAAGGGAGGAGGAGGGAGAGAGAAGACCTGAACTACTCTCTTTTGGGAACGAAGCAACCCACGCCCTGGCTTTGGCGAAGGGTGGGGAGGGGGTGTGGAGCAGAAAAGGTCAGGTCCAGGTGGAGACCATTCCCAGGCTGCCCAGAGGCTGGGTCTGCTCAGAGCCAGGTGGCCTCCAATCCCCAAAAGGATGAGGCAATGGGAGCAGGCCAAGGACTGGGTCATACATCCCCCAACTCCACTTGAGCCCCAGAAAAAGAGGAGTTCTTCTCTGTCATCTCTACGTAATCACGGCCCCTTAACCTCCTGCCTCCTGGCGTGAGAGGCCCTGGGCCTCCCTGCTCACCCTGGGCTGCCCGGTCCTAGCCATCCCTCCACTGCAGGCTGGACAGCTGGGCTGCCACACAGCTCGCAAACAGCTGTTGCATCCCACCCGAGGTGGTGGCGTGTCCTCACTGGGTGAAGCGAGGCGTGCTCATTTTTAATTACATAGACACCAACGTGCACCCACCCGCACACAGCGCTCCCTGCAAGTGGGGGCTCAGACCCTGGAGGCCCCTCAGGCAACTGGTCTGCATCGCACGTGCAAAGTGATGGGGGAGGCACAGCAGGCGCCGCTGCAGCTAGGATGTGGCACACTGTTATTATTCTGCCCAGGAACTTCCGTCAACTTCCCTCTCTCTGGCTGCCTCTCATCCCCACTGGGCCTCCAGACAGCCTCTGGCCCAGAACCTAAACCTGTCTGTGGGGTGGGAGGTGACAGCAGGAGATGGCTCTGGGGGCCTTGCCGTGCCAGCAGGGAGAGCCTGCAGAAGGGCTGGTGAGCACCCTCCCCCTGGTAGGAGGGCCCGGAGCTACGAAAATGATGGGAAAAGGAGACAAGAAGAGAGATGGGGCTGCCGCAGAGG